ACGATTAGCACTGTTTACACGATTAGCACTGTTTAAACTATAAAGCACTGTTTACACTATAAGCACTGTTTAAACTATAAAGCACTGTTTACACGATAAGCACTGTTTACACGATTAGCACTGTTTACACTATAAGCACTATTTACACGATAGCCACTTTTAAACTATAAACACTGTTTACACTATAAGCACTGTTTACACGATTAGCCCTGTTTAACTATAAGCACTGTTTACACTATAAGCACTGTTTACACTATAAGCACTGTTTACACTATAAACACTGTTTACACTGTAAGCACTGTTTACACGATTAGCACTGTTTACACGATTAGCCTGTTTAAACTATAAACACTGTTTACACTATAAGCACTGTTTCACGACTACAAGCACTGTTTACACTATAAGCACTGTTTAAACTATAAACACTGTTTACACGATTAGCACTGTTTACACTATAAGCACTATTTACACGATTAGCACTGTTTAAACTATAAACACTGTTCACACTATAAGCACTGTTTACACGATTAGCCCTGTTTAAACTATAAGCACTGTTTACACTATAAGCACTGTTTACACTATAAGCACTGTTTACACTATAACACTGTTTACACTGTAAGCACTGTTTACACGATTAGCACTGTTTACACGATTAGCACTGTTTAAACTATAAACACTGTTTACACGATTAGCACTGTTTACACGATTAGCACTGTTTACACTATAAGCACTGTTTACACTATAAGCACTGTTCACACTACAAGCACTGTTTACACGATTAGCACTGTTTAAACTATAAACACTGTTCACACTACAAGCACTGTTTACACGATAAGCACTGTTTAAACTATAAACACTGTTCACACTACAAGCACTGTTTACACTATAAGCCCTTTTTACACTAATAGCACTGTTTACACTATAAGCACTGTTTACACTATAAACACTGTTTACACTGTAAGCACTGTTTACACGATTAGCACTGTTTACACGATTAGCACTGTTTAAACTATAAACACTGTTTACACTATAAGCACTGTTTAAACTATAAACACTGTTTACACTATAAGCACTGTTTACACGATTAGCACTGTTTACACTATAAGCACTATTTACACGATTAGCACTGTTTAAACTATAAACACTGTTTACACTATAAGCACTGTTTACACGATTAGCCCTGTTTAAACTATAAGCACTGTTTACACTATAAGCACTGTTTACACTATAAGCACTGTTTACACTATAAACACTGTTTACACTGTAAGCACTGTTCACACGATTAGCACTGTTTACACGATTAGCCCTGTTTAAACTATAAACACTGTTTACACTATAAGCACTGTTCACACTACAAGCACTGTTTACACTATAAGCACTGTTTACACTATAAGCACTGTTTACACGATTAGCACTGTTTACACTATAAGCACTATTTACACGATTAGCACTGTTTAAACTATAAACACTGTTCACACTACAAGCACTGTTTACACGATTAGCACTGTTTAAACTATAAACACTGTTCACACTACAAGCACTGTTTAAACTATAAGCCCTTTTTACACTAATAGCACTGTTTACACTTTTAGCACTGTTTACACTATAAGCACTGTTTACACTAATAGCACTGTTTACACTTTTAGCACTGTTTACACTATAAGCACTGTTTACACTACAAGCACTGTTTACACGATTAGCACTGTTTAAACTATAAACACTGTTTACACTGTAAGCACTGTTTACACTGTAAGCACTGTTTACACTATAAACACTGTTTACACTACAAGCACTGTTTACATGATTAGCACTGTTTAAACTATAAACACTGTTTACACTATTAGCACTGTTTACACTGATAGTAGGTTACTATTAACACACCTTTTGCATGGCTAGCACTATTAGCATGGTTAGCCCTTTTTACACGGTTAGCACTGTTTGCACAGTTAGCACTATTAGCATGGTTAGCACTGTTTGCACGGTTGGCACTATTAGCATGTTTAGCACTATTAGCATGTTAGCACTATTAGCATGTTTAGCACTATTAGCATGGTTAGCACTATTAGCATGGTTAGCACTGCAGGTATTCCTTCGTTAATTTAAAATCTGATTAAATTCAAACATATAGGTTGAATGAAGTTGACTTCATAACGCAAAACTTAAAAAAATACATTTTTGAAAACTTACCTGCTGCAGGTGAGTTGAGGGACTGAAGGACTGAGGACGCCGGAAACGGCCCCCCGTCCGCCAAATCTGTCCCCCAGAGCCGCTGCCGAACCCGACCGGAGAACTGTCCCTGTATCCCCGGTTAGAAGCCGGAGAGTAGGCCGGAGAACCGCCCCTGTACCCCCGGTTAGAAGCCGGAGAACCGCCCCTGTACCCCCGGTTAGAAGCCGGAGAGTAGGCCGGAGAGCCCGGGGAGAAAGCCGGGCCGCCGTGTGGAGATCCGCCGCGGGGTCCAGAGCCTCCGTACGGTGAGGGAGCTCCAGGGAAACCCCAGCAGGAGGCCGGGGAGGGGAACCTTCCCGTCGGCCGCGGAGCTCCCGGACTCCGTTGCGGTCTGACCGGAGCTCGGTACATGTGAACGGCTGTAGATCCACGGAGAGGCGGGCAGGTCGCGTCTGGAGCAACGACACAAACAAACAATGAACCCGGAGCCATACAAATACTTCCTGTTGGTTCCGCCGACTGCAGCGCCGCCTAGCGGCTCTTCCGTTTTTCACACACTCATCTGTTTTCTGTCCTAGTGTGGGAATAATGTATTAACTGTTGATTGAACTGAGTGCAGGTACAGCCTCAGTTGAGAACAGCAGCAGGTAAACAATGACAGAATAAAAGCTGTCAAAATAAAAAAACATTAAAAACAATAATTTAATGATTTCAAGTGAAGGCACACCTGTTTAAAAATGAAAACGTTCATTTAACTCATCTCTCCAATGATTCAAACGTTTAAAATATCTGCTCTTATAAATTACCAAAAACTTCCCCAGTAAAATTAGAGGGTTAAAAAAACAAACTCCGCCTGCAGCCACTTCCTCCAGAACAATTGGCCGGGTGGACAAACTAAACTTTCAATGTCCTCTTCACTAAAAACACATGGATATGAAATGTCAGGGTGTGTCGGGTACACTCATTTACTTCATGTTCCTTCTTCCTGGGTAAGATCTATCTGTTAATTTCAAATACTAAAAACAATTAAAGACACACAGGGAATTTGTGACTCACACACAGCAGCAGACAGATGGGTTGGTACAGAGCTGTGGGGGGCCGTGGGGGGCAGTTTGAAGTTTATGGTGTTGTAGTTAAAGGTGCATTTCTTTGTATTTATCAAGTTTGAATGAACATTTATAACTTCACTCTCTGATATAAAACAGGTGATGATATGTAATCAAATGTCTGCCTGACAGACAAACCGGGGAACAGGTGAGGGCTGTGGATCAGTGACATGGTGCAGGCTTCTGAAAGTACACGCATAACCGATAAGCCGATAACTGGAAGTCTTTTTTGGAACTCTAGTATCTAGAAACGTAGCAGAGTTTATCAGTCCCTGACAACAACACAGAGTTCAGACCAAGAGGCAGAGCTGCAGTCTCCCAGTCACTATAGCTGTAACTCTGAATGTAACTGTAGTTATACTATAGGTACTGTGCCTGTCCCCCGGCCCACTTCTCCAAACATAAATAAAAAAGGGGTAAATCGTAAAAATCTCATTAAAATCAAAACTACAAATACGATTTTGCAAAAGACTGAGACAATAAAATGCAGACTTTTAAACATTAGATCCTTGGACTTCCGGTTATGCACTTGAGTAGCCACACTCTGTCATTATCCTGCAACGTTGGTTTCACTTTTCCTCATTGTGGTAAAGCAAAGCTGTGGGCAAAATGCCTCCCGAACAGCTTTCTAAACAGAAAGACACAACTGCACCCTCCCCCTGAAAACGGCGCCGCCAGGCCAGCAGCTAAAGCGTATGATGCTAACTCTGACCAAAGCTCTGGAGACAATGACAGCCAATATTACTGCTAGAAAAGATGATATCAACGCCAATATCTCCCAGAGTTTAAAAGAAGTCACCAACCAAGTTAACAAGGTGGAGCAGCGGATTCTAGCTGCGGAAAACATGTCAACTGGCGCCGAGCAATGCCTGTTGGCTATGGAAAAAAAGAGTACACAAGCTCACTGAACCGCTTTACGACTAGAAAAACTTATTGTTTTGAGTCCTGGATCCCAAAGGTTCTTCACCTGGACACCAAAGCGGGCTGCGTCAAGCTGGAAAGGTCACACAGACTCCCGGGTCCAGAGAAGGTTTCCTCACGCCATGATAGTGAGGTTTCACAACAGAGTAATGGATGCAGTCAGGCATCTCAAAGACGTCCGACTCGACGGTACACGGATCCATTTCTTTCCTGATTTTTCTGCTGCGACACAGAAAAGACGAGTATGACCAAGTGAGGAAGAAGCTCCAGAACATGGACGGGGCCCGCTACGCCATGATCTACACTGCGGGTTATGAAACAAAATAAAATTTTCAAAGTCCCAAATTATGCCCTCAGGCAATTCTTATTTTCAACCATCATCAGCCTTTAAATGGTCACCAAAGGTGCTCCGTACCTGGGGATCTCAAGTACTCCTTCTGTGAAAGAAATGTACGAGGCCAACTTTGAACCTCTCTGAAAATGTATTAGTGATGATCTAGATCCTGCCTAGACTTCTTCACTATTTTTATATGATCCTTTTATCAGCTGGATGAACAACTTCATTACATAGCTGAGTGGATTAACAGTCATTGGATGACCCGCCTGAACAACCCCCCCCCCCCAGTTTCCTATCCCTCATCCTGCATCTTATCCCATCTCCCCCTATTCCTTTTTCAAACCTGATTCAGTTTCAGTAGATGGCTGTTTCATCATGAGTCTAGATTTACCCAAGGGTTACCTTTTTACGTGCTCTTTAATATAACATTGAGTAAGGTCTTTTACCTGTTCTTTAATTTAACAATGAGTAAGGTCCTTTACCTGCTCTTTAATATAACAATGAGTAAGGTCCTTTACCTGCTCTTTAATTTAACAATGAGTAAGGTCCTTTACCTGTTCTTTAATATAACAATGAGTAAGGTCCTTTACCTGTTCTTTAATATAACAATGAGTAAGGTCCTTTACCTGCTCTTTAATATAACAATGAGTAAGGTCCTTTACTTGCTCTTTAATTTAACAATGAGTAAGGTCTTTTACCTGTTCTTTAATTTAACAATGAGAAAGGTCTATTACCTGTTCTTTAATACAACATTGAGTAAGGTTTTGATTCCTGTGCGTAGCTCAGCCCCTTTGGAGGAGATTAAAGAAAAATTCAAAAACCCTCTCTGGACGTTTAAATCTTTGCTGCTCATCTTCATGACTCAGACGACTCATCTGTCACTCTCTCTCCCTGCTCTGCTCTGTGGGCGTCCGAACAAATTTCCTCACTGCTTGATCCGAAACAGAGAATGAACACACCATCTGAGGACAGAATACACACCCACACACACACACGCACGCACGCACGCACGCACGCACGCACGCACGCACGCACACACACACACACACACACAAACACACACTATATATATATATATATACACATATATAGACAGGTCAGACAGATTTAGCCTTCTTTAATCGTTTTTTTATAGAATGATGTCTTCGTTTTTTATGTTGACTAATTCATTTTTTAAAACTGGGGATTTTATCATATTGTGTAAACTTGTAAAAAATGTGACAATGTGAGTAACTAAAAAAGGATCATGAAGACGTGGTTGTTGTAGTTTTTACAGCCACATCCGATTTAGACTGCGGGGGAGAGTCTGAGAGCAGTTTGTGGTGGAGGTGGTGTCGAGGTTATCAGGCCTGACGTGTCCTGCAGCCTGCCCACACACAAAAAATAGATCCTTCAGTTTGACTCACATGACAATGGTCCACCTTCATCACGTTTCTCTGGACATGTTCCTCCTCCACAGTCTGCACGTTCACACTATAAATCATCTGTTCTGTGATTACAGAACATAGCATTCTGATTGGCTCTTGTATAGAGAAACATGTGACCTCACAGAAATCTTGAAAAAGCTCCACAAGTAAAGAAATGTCAATGTCATCTTTTCTTTTCTTTTATTGTACTTAATTTGGTTTCTCATTTTCACTTCCTTTGGCATTTAAACACATTTCCATGAAGCCCCTTTGAATCGAATTGTAAATTAAAACGTAAGAACAATAGGTGGGGAGTGTTGGGGGTTTATCTAGTCAACTTTGGTTATAGTCTTTAATAATTATATTTAATTATTAATAATATAAATAACAATATCATTAAACTATGTTTAATCACTCTTGGGGCACCACCCTGTAATCAGGGAAATATAACCAAAATATCACTCTAATCAGTCTCAAATTAGTTACTTAATTACTAGTATTATTAATAATTAATAACTATATTTAATCAATTGAAGGCGTGAAATCCGTACACAAAGCCCTTGCACCCAGCTTATATCACAATGCAAATACAACCAGTAATCACAAACAACTGCTCTCTTAAATTATAACAGAATTTATTTAAACAAAGCAACATCAACCCAAAATCAAACTAATCTAAGCCAACAAACATTATCAAGCAAACAGTGTGGCACATGTGTGTGTGTGAGTGTGTGTGTGTGTGTGTGTGTGTGTGTGTGTGTGTGGATGAGAGAGATAGAGAGAGAGAGAGAGAGAGAGAGAGAGAGAAAACAAGATGGTGGAGAGAGACAATGCACCATGTGGCTTCGTCACAAGGATCTCATTAAGGAAGGACTCAGTAACCATGGCCTCTTCATCGAGAGAGGACCCCACGTAAGGACCCGGCTTCCCAAAGAGGACGGGCTCAGTGAGCATGGCCTCGTCATCGAGAGAGGACCCCACGTAGGGACCCGGCTTCCCAAAGAGGACGGGCTCAGTGACCATGGCCTCATCATCGAGAGAGGACCCCACGTACGGACCCGGCTTCCCAAAGAGGACGGGCTCAGTGAGCATGGCCTCGTCATCCAGGAAGGACCTCACGGACGGACTCGGCTTCCCAAAGAGGATGGACTCTGCACGCACTGCACCCAACAGGAGGTGGAAACAAAGCTGCCTTTTTGAACCACCTGCCCATTGTACCAGAGAGACATGTACTTCCCACTCATCACAAACACATTCAGTAATGTTGGGCCTCAGCCATGTGTGCTGGAGAAAGGACTCAGGCCTGTATTGCAGTTCTCAAGCCTGACTAGACTTATTTTGGAGGTAACTAAACAAAGGAGTCTTAGCCCAGTACCCCCCAACAGCACCTAACAAATAGGTGTGAAAAGTGGGGTGGTGGGGGGTGTCTGAATTCTCTATCCTCATTGGAGGAGGCCTGAGGTAAACCCACAGGCAGCTCCAGTCTTTAAAAGCAATTGCCAGTCATTGCTCTTTCTCTTCAAGTGTGGTCTGCCTACACCAGAGGATAAACTCTCCAACAAGATGGACTCCAGCATTTGAGGAGACAAACCCTTTCCTCCTCTTGGCTTACATAGGTTAAACTCCAGAGCTGAGGTTGTTCAGTCTAGGTAGCTCTCCACATGCTGAATTCGAGCATCAGAGGATTCAGCTGACTACTTCCACGTCATATTTTTAGGAGTTTTGGGCGCAATCAGATGCTATCAGGTTCGAGCAAAAAGAAGAGTTTCTTTCCTTTGATTTTTCGTAAGACGTCATTGAACGCAACTGGACAGGAGCGCTGAAGGAAGCCCACTGATCCCTGATCCACAAGGACACATAAAGAACTTGGCTCCTGCAACCAGAAGACCCTAGAGCAGTGCTCTGGTCGAAGATCTGAATCCTGCTACCCTCCTTCTACATCTGCCACGAAGGAACCCTGCCTGAATCTGTTGATTTAATATTCAACAGAGTGACGATCTAACCAACTTTGCAACGATCACCAGGAGTTACCCCAAGTAAGAGCTTTGGTCTGGGCAGAAATAGTTTCAGAAATAGTTATGTTTCTTTTTGTGACGATTGGAAAACAAGGAGGTGTGGACCCAAGTGCAGAATTAACTAAACTATTTTTTTAATAAAAAGCCAAACAAAAACTTACTTCAAAAAGTTCAACAAAAAACACAGGGATCAAAAACAGGGAGCCACCGGTACACTGACATACAAACAACATACAATGAACTGACACAGAAGGGAAGAAACACAGAGACTCCGGACCGTCAGGCGGACGGCCTGGAGGCAGGGCACATAGCTCGGAAAGTTCAGGTGGACGGCCAGGAGGCCGACCAAACACAGGGAGCAGTTCGGGTAGAGAGGAGATCAGGGGGGTGGCCGTGAGGCCGACCAGATGAACACACGGGACCAGTGAGAGGCCAGGCCCCCCACGGAAACACAGGGGTGGGCAGAGTCAGCAGGGCCTCTGATGAGGGCGCAGGAGTCAGCAGGACCTCTGACGAGGGCGCAGGAGTCAGCAGGACCTCCGACGAGGGCGCTGGAATCAGCAGGGCCTCTGACGAGGGTGCAGGAGTCAGCAGGGCCTCTGACGAGGGCGCAGGAGTCAGCAGGGCCTCTGACGAGGGCGCAGGAGTCAGCAGGGCCTCTGACGAGGGCGCAGGAGTCAGCAGGGCCTCTGATGAGGGCGCAGGACTGTCCAGGACTTCATACGAGAGTGCAGGAGTTGCCTGGACCTCAAACGACAGCTCAGGAGTCGCCAGGGCCCCTGACGAGGGCACAGAAATGTGCGGGGCCTTCCACAGAGACTCAGGAGTGGGCAGAACCTCCCACGCAGACACAGGAGTCATAGGAGTGGGCAGAGCCTCCCACAGAGACAGGCGAGTGGGCAGAACCTCCCATGTAGACACGAGAGTCAGACAGCGCTCTGCTGGAACAGGAACAGGGAGCAGACAGCACCCTGCCGGAACTGATGGCAGACGGCGCTCTGCGGGAACAGGAACAGGAACATGGGGCAGACAGCACTCCGCCGAACAAGCAACACTGGGATAAAACAGGGAAACTCAAATACAAAACCAAATCATGACACTTTTATAACCACTGATAATTATGCATAATTGTTGACTGAACGTCACATTCTGTTTATTATCTGTTGTAAGCTGCTGCATTTGTTTTATTGTGATGAACCGCCGTGTTCGCCTATGTATGTAATGCTGTGCTAGTTTCACAATCAGAAAGACCAGTGTACCCGCTGTGGAATCAAAGTAGTGTTTAAGTAACAGTTACTGAACTCAGCTCAGAGAGCTCAAACTATTTCAACAGGCAGCCACACGACTTCCTTTGTCGTCCACCATTTTTTCAACCACATGAGCTGGTGGTGGGGGAGGGGGTTCGGGGCCTTGCTCAAGGGCACCTCGGCGGTGCTCAGGAGGTGATCTGGCACCTCTCCAGCTACCAGACCAACTTCCATATTTGGTCCGTACCAGGACTTGAACTGGTGACCCTCCGGTTCCCAACCCAAGTCCCTACAGACTGAGCTACTGCCGCCCCACAATTAGTAATTAAGTAACTATTTTGAGACTGATTTGAGTGATATTTTGGTTATATTACCCTGATTACAGGGTGGTGTCCCTGAGTTGATTAAACATAGTTTAATAATATTGTTATTTATATTAATAATAACTAAATATAATTATTAAAGAATATTACCAAAGTTGACTTGATACAACCGCAACAGTAACTTAAACAATAAGTAGATCCATACCTGCTGATGGGGTACAGCAATGTGGAACCACAACAGCAAGATCTGTGAACTGAAAAGAGCGCCCGAGAACACACAACCACATGAACCAGGCTGAAAACCAGCCATTTAAACTCGCAATGACCATCAGCACTGATAATCACTGTGTGTTTACACAGGGTCAATTGTATTCATAAAGTTACATGTTTACATGTTTACATTTTGACCTTTAGTTACCTTTTCTTATATATATATATTCTAAGAACAAGTCTCCTTCTGTCTTTGTATTTTAAACTGTTATATACCCAACTGTTATGCTGCACATCTTTGGATACACCCTTTTTGAACATCTTCTTTATCTCTTCATTTGTATATTTCTCTTATATTTTTGGTATTTTCATCAGTTGCTTTGTCGATGTAAACTTTTGTTTCCCATTTCAATAGAGAGCTTTGGTTTGATTTGAATTGAAGGAGGGTGAGGCACGTATCAAAGTGTCCGAGTAACTTCTCCAAAGACCAACCTGAACCAGCGGCATGAACTCTTGTATTTGATCATGATTCAAAAATGTCTTTTTAAAAAAAGTTGGATTTAAAGCAGCAGAGTGCAGCTCTGAATCTGTTTTTAATTCAAGTTTGATTATTGAGGCAATGTGCTCTATTACCCAGAGTGCTTTGTGTGAGTTTGTAGGTCAGTGAACAATCAGACCGTTGCCTTGCCAACTGGTCGCCGCTGTCCCCCTTTTCCTTGGCTAAACATTTAATGCCCCCATTTTTCCTGGTGGATTATTTAATGTTAAACACTCAGATCTCTGTCCTGAGGGAGGGAAGGGGGGGGGGGGGGGGGGGGCGCAAGAGGACACAGCATGCTGTCAAGAATGGGTTTGCTGTTAAAAAAAGACACAAACATGATTAAAGGTTGAAAGTTTTTTGTTTATTAATGAAACTAAAAAAAATAAATTAGATTATTTTTTATAAGAAATAAAATCTATTCACAAAGTTTAACATTCATCATCAGTAATATCATTCTTTGGTTTATTTCTCAATCTAATATTCAGTCTCCAATGTGTGCAAATATTAACATTCAATTTGTTACTATATTAAAAATAATAAAAATCACCATCATCTTCATTATAATTTTCATCCATTCATCCATTTTCTTCTGTCGCCGTGGCAGCTAGCGTAGTAAATAAACCCAGACTTCCCTCTCCTTTGGTCAATTTGACAGAACGTCCTTGAGGCCAACCAAAAGTCCTTCTCCATAGCCTCCCCGAACTCCTCCCACACCCGTGTTTTTGCCTCCGCAATCACTGAAGCCACAGCCCTCCCATACACCCGATACCTGACAGCTGCTTCCAGAGACCCTTCAGCTAACCAAACCCGAAAGGCCTTCTTTTTCCTCCTTTTTCAGACTGACGGTGTCCACCAGCGGATTTTGTAGTTTGCCACCATGACAGTCACTGACGGTCTTCTGACCACAACTCCTTTGAACATGGACCACTTGGACTCCATGTCCCAACCTCCGCCAGGATGAAAGAGGAGTTCTTCCTGAGGTGGGCAATGAAGACCTTATGAACAGGGGCCTCAGCCAAATGTTTCCACTTCACCCGCACTACACGTTTTGGTTTACCAGGTCTGTCCGCCATCTGATCCAACTCACCACCAGGTGGTGATCAGTTGACAGCTCTGCTCCTCTCTTCACCCGAGTGTCCAAAACAAAACGGCCTCAGATCTGATGAAACAACAACAAAGTCGATCATCGATCTTTGGCCTAGGGTGTTCTGGTACCAGGTACACTTATCCAAGTACACAAAAACACATCACTATGCCCGAACATGGTGTTTGTTATGGCCAATCCATGATCGGGCAGGCTGTGCCTTGAGTTGAGCCCAACTATATCTAGCTGGCAGCACTCTACCTCCAGTACCAGGTCCGGCTCCTTCATCGCCAGAGAGGTGACATTCCATGTCCCGAGAACTAGTCAGGGTCGCCTGGGATTAGTATGCCCAGGCATCCACCTATGCCTGCCATCCGGCTTGGCGTGCACCCAATGCTTCTCCCTGCAGGTGGTGGGCCTACAGGGCGGGGGCTCCATGAAGGTGTTTCAGGCTGAAGGTGATAATCAGAACTAATTACTCAAAAGTCTTCTCACTTTCAGTAAGCAAAGGAACCATTCTATCAAATATGTATGTCCTACAATGAAACACAACAGAACACGATGTAATAAAACAACAGAACACGGTGTAATAAAACAACAGAACACGATGTAATAAAACAACAGAACACGGTGTAATAAAACAACAGAACACGATGTAATAAAACAACAGAACACAGTGTAATAAAACAACAGAACACAGTGTAATAAAACAACAGAACACAGTGTAATAAAACAACAGAACACGATGTAATAAAACAACAGAACACGATGTAATAAAACAACAGAACACAGTGTAATAAAACAACAGAACACGATGTAATAAAACAACAGAACACGATGTAATAAAACAACAGAACACAGTGTAATAAAACAACAGAATACAGTGTAATAAAACAACAGAACACAGTGTAATAAAACAACAGAACACAGTGTAAGGAATGACTCACACCGACTCGAGAACATGTTGCATAGGCTCTTCAGGTGGTTCCAATGTGGAAAAGAGTCTAAACTAAACATAGGTCCTGCTCAAAAGCATGAATTGTTTGATGCATCTCCGTGGTTACGAGCAGCCGCACTCGTCCACGATCATGTCCTGGACGTCCTTTTTGATTATCTTTTGCTCCTCATTGAAGTACAGCATGGACATGGCACGCAACCTCGTGGGTACGCAGCACGACCGCACGTTTTGAAACGGCCCATGGCCCCTCAGGCGATAATGGTTGATGACCATTGAATGGAAGGACAGGGACGAGCCGCCGAAACTCACCATGTGGTTCGGACAGTCTCCCTCACAGTAGTTGGCATGGTAACCGGACGGAGCAATGATCCAGTCGCTCCATCCGATGTCTTTGAAGTCCACGTAGAACTGTCGTTTGCAGCAAAGGCGAAGTTTCCCGTCGCACTCAAGACCTCGTTTGATTCGTCGCTGGGTGAGCTCCTCTCGAGGTCGCATCGTCACAGTGAGGAAAGGTCGGTGAGATTGATCTCGCCCTCCTGCTCCAGTCGTCAGGACAGGCAAGGCTCCACCCTCAGCACACAGAGGACAGGAAACCTCCAGGCTGAGTGAGCTGCTGCCGCCTTCAAGCAGATTCTGAACCTGGCGAGAGATGGCCAGGGTGTGCCAGCCACTTCGCCGAGCGTCCACCATCTTCTCTAAAACACAGTCCTCCTCACCTTTATCATCCTCAAGAAGCAGCCTCAGCATCACTTTGCCTTTCGCTCGATTTCCCTTCAACACCTTGAAGAAGATCCAGACATTGGCCTGTTCAACCACAGACGAGTCACTGCTGTCCATTGTAATGTCAAAGGTCACAGAGGTCGGAGAGCCTCCTGAAACACAGAGAAGTTAACATGTTAGCAGGAATTAGCCACATCCCTCAGAAATGGTGATCTGGTTCTCAGGTGCTGGTGAACTCCAGGATCTTTGACAACAAAGTTTGGTTTTCATTTACACGTTGCTCCTGCTTCAGGGTTAGATTAAAAGTAATCCAGGTTTAAGTTATCTTAACAATCTTTAAAGATCTGATGGTTTTCACTGGAGAACCTGTTTTCAATCAGGATCATAAAAAGTGCAGGTGAAGAGGGTTACTTCTGTTTGATGCTAAACAGTTTGTATTTGACCCCGCTGCATTTGCTCTGAAATGAATGTTTCTCATCAATAAAGACACCAAGCCCCCTCTCGTTTTGTCTTCCTGTCTTTTGAAATGAACGAACAAAGAAATTCATTTACGACAACGGCATGAATGGAGCCGCTGCCTCTAAATATATTCCATGTGAGCGGTGACACTAAAAAAAGGAAAAGCCTGCTTACAGGGAATGTTGTTAACAAGGTCAAACACACACACACACACACACACACACTCTTTGTCTCTCTGCAGGATAATTACTGAGGCCCAGATTTGTCTGAATAAAAAGATTATTTACGGCCTGAGACCACTCGGTATGCCCCCTCCTCTAATTTGAGCCTTTGAGGGACAATTTGAATCAAAAGAAAAAACTATTTATAGCACAAAGGCATTCTGTACATTTATGTAAGCAGAAAGACAACAGGATTGGTCATGAGCTACTTCCTGCTCATTGTTTTATCTGACACGTTAAGTATGAATATCAATATATGTATTTAAGTGTGTTCTGAATGTACATGTGTTTGAAAAACTTTTTTTTTTTTTTTTTAAAGATATTTCTTGGACATTTTTAAACTTTAATTAGATAAGAAAACTGAAGAGAGACAGGAAATGTTGGGAAGAGAGAGTGTGGGACGACATGCATCAAAGAACCAGGGCCGGATTCCAACACATGTCCGCTGTGGTGAGGACCTTAGCCTCAAATAGCACATGGGATGAAAGACATAACCACTAGGTTATTTGATTAGTGACACAAACTGAAACGACAGTGTGACATCAGCAACAAGATTACTGAGTCTGTAACGTTTAACTAAGTCAGTATCATTTTAACATTTTAACTGTGACTATGTTATATTTTAACATCTTAACTGACTCTCTAACATCTTAACTGACTCTCTAACATCTTAACTGACTCTCTAACATTTAACTGACTCTCTAACATCTTAACTGACTCTCTAACATTTAACTGACTCTCTAACATTTTAATGACTCTCTAACATTTAACTAACTCTCTAACATTTTAATGACTCTCTAACATCTTAACTGACTCTCTAACATTTTAATGACTCTCTAACATTTAACTGACTCTCTAACATTTAACTGACTCTCTAACATCTTAACTGACTCTCAAACATCTTAACTGACTCTCTAACATTTAACTAACTCTCTAACATTTAACTGACTCTCTAACATCTTAACTGACTCTCTAACATTTTAATGACTCTCTAACATTTAACTGACTCTCTAACATTTAACTGAATCTCTAACATCTTAACTGACTCTCAAACATTTAACTGACTCTCTAACATTTAACTGAATCTCTAACATCTTAACTGACTCTCTAACATTTAACTGACTCTCTAACATTTTAACTGACTCTCTAACATCTTAACTGACTCTCTAACATTTTAATGACTCTCTAACATTTAACTGACTCTCTAACATTTTAACTGACTCTCTAACATCTTAACTGACTCTCTAACATTTTAACTGACTCTAACATCTTAACTGACTCTCTAACATCTTAACTGACTCTCTAACATTTAACTGACTCTCTAACATCTTAACTGACTCTCTAACATTTTAATGACTCTCTAACATTTAACTGACTCTCTAACATTTAACTGAATCTCTAACATCTTAACTGACTCTCAAACATTTAACTGACTCTCTAACATTTAACTGAATCTCTAACATCTTAACTGACTCTCTAACATTTAACTGACTCTCTAACATTTTAATGACTCTCTAACATCTTAACTGACTCTCTAACATCTTAACTGACTCTCTAACATCTTAACTGACTCTCTAACATTTAACTGACTCTCTAACATCTTAACTGACTCTCTAACATTTTAATGACTCTCTAACATTTAACTGACTCTCTAACATTTAACTAACTCTCTAACATTTTAACTGACTCTCTAACATCTTAACTGACTCTCTAACATTTAACTGACTCTCTAACATTTTAACTGACTCTCTAACATCTTAACTGACTCTCTAACATTTAACTGACTCTCTAACATCTTAACTGACTCTCTAACATTTTAACTGACTCTCTAACATCTTAACTGACTCTCTAACATTTTAACTGACTCTCTAACATTTTAACTGACTCTCTAACATTTTAATGACTCTCTAACATTTTACTGACTCTCTAACATTTAACTGACTCTCTAACATTTTAATGACTCTCTCACATTTTAATGACTCTGTAGCATTGACTCTTTCAGACTGTGAAATTAGAGATCAAACTTCTATTTTCTTCTTAGTCAGTGTTATTTGATAAACAATGTTGGATCGCACCTGGCTCTGCAAAGGTGATTATTTCTGATGGTGGTTCAGGGGATATTGTTGTGCCCTGGCCTTCTTGGATCTCCACGCTGCCATCTTCAGCAACACGGCCCACGTGGAGTTTCTTGATGGCGTTGAGCATTGCAGCACGAGGGACTGGCTGTGTCAGATTGGGCCGAGTGCTCAGGTGCAGCATGTTCAGAATGTGACGTTTCACTGCCTCCACCATGTCATTCTGTCCTCCCAAAGTAGACGAGTTTCTCCTCATGTGAGACAAAGAGCATGATGGACAATCCGAGGACGGCGCCCTCTCCTGGAGCCGAGACTTTACATCCACCTCCAAAGCCGGAGAGACTGTCGGAGAGGCATCAACCAGAAGACCCATAGCCAGAAAGAAGAACACAGAAAAAGGGCACATGATGTCAGAATAGTTTGGTCCTGGTGGTTCTGGTCCTGGTGGTTCTGGTCCTGATGGTTCCGGTCTGAGCTGAATGTGTGCAGGGTCAGTCTACTCTCCCTCTCTGCTCTGTAATTATACCTCTCTGCATGTTTAATCCCTCCCTCCACCACAGAGGTATTTCCCTGTGAGTCACACACACACACACACACACACACACACACACACACACACACACACACACACACACACACACACACACACACACACACAGTGAGTACTCTCTCAGAATATCTCAGGACTGTTTGTGGTGTTTTCTCCTGAAAGAACGTCACGACAGAAGAGGAGGTGGAAGGAGGGAAGAGGAGGAAGAGTGTCCCTGATTCATTCTCACCACACACACACACACACACACACACACACACACACACACAGACATATATACACACACACACACACACATGCACACACCACACACGCTGATGACTCAAAGTAGAATCATCGTCACCTCACGTGGAGGAGAAACTCTGTTGGTGTGAAATAAATTTTTAGACTGAAAAGACAAGTTTATTGATATAATTTTAGTCCTGCAAACAGCAGATGGGGAGCTCAGAACAGATCGTCACACACGCTCACAGATATTTTAAGAATGATGACATCACTACGCCTCTCAGTTTTCTTGAGGACCTTGGTTAGACTTTGAACTTAGACCTCCAGATCAAGAAGCTCAACAGCAGTATCATTCTTCTGAAGGAGAAAAGGCAGCCTTTCTCAGATTCTTCATCCATGCATTAGTTACCTCCAGGTTGGATTATTGTAATTCTCTTTTGTCAGGGTGCTCTGGTAAGTCTCTAAAGACTCTTCAACTAGTCCAGAACACTGCAGCTCGTGGACTGACTAGAACTAGGAAAAGGGACCACATTACTCCTGTGTTGGCTTCTCTGCACTGGCTCCCTATACAGTCTAGAATAGAATTCAAGATCCTTCTTCTCACTTACAAAGCTCTAAATGGCCAGACACCATCTTATCTTAAGGAGCTACTAGTGCCGTACTGCCCTTCAAGAACATTACGCTCCCAGAATGCAGGCCTGCTGGTGGTGCCTACAGTCTCTAAATGTACTATGGGAGGTAGAGCATTAAGTTATCAGGCCTGCTCGTGGTACCTACTGTCTCTAAATGTAGTATGGGAGGTAGAGCCTTCAGTTATCAGGCCTGCTCGTGGTACAGTCTCCAAAGTTACTATGGGAGGTAGAGCCTTCAGTTATCAGGCCTGCTCGTGGTACCTACAGTCTCTAAATGTACTATGGGAGGTAGAGCATTAAGTTATCAGGCCTGCTCGTGGTACCTACTGTCTCTAAAGGTACTATGGGAGGTAGAGCCTTCAGTTATCAGGCCTACTCGTGGTACCTACTGTCTTTAAATGTACTATGAGAGGTAGAGCCTTCAGTTATCAGGCCTGCTCGTGGTACAGTCTCTAAATGTACTATGAGAGGTAGAGCCTTCAGTAATCAGGCCTGCTCGTGGTACAGTCTCTAAATGTACTATGGGAGGTAGAGCCTTCAGTTATCAGGCCTGCTCCTGGTACCTACGGTCTCTAAATGTACTATGGGAGGTAGAGCCTTCAGTTATCAGGCCTGCTCATGGTACCTACAGTCTCTAAATGTACTATGGGAGGTAGAGCCTTCAGTTATCAGGCCTGTTCGTGGTACCTACAGTCTCGAAATGTACCATGGGAGGTAGAGCCTTCAGTTATCAGGTCTGCTCGTGGTACAGTCTCTAAAGTTACTATGGGAGGTAGAGCCTTCAGTTATCAGGCCTGCTCGTGGTACAGTCTCTAAATGTCCTATGGGAGGTAGAGCCTTCAGTTATCAGACCTGCTCGTGGTACCTACAGTCTCGAAATGTACTATGGGAGGTAGAGCCTTCAGTTATCAGACCTGCTCGTGGTACCTATGGTCTCTAAATGTACTATGGGAGGTAGAGCCTTCAGTTATCAGACCTGCTCGTGGTACCTACAGTCTCGAAATGTACTATGGGAGGTAGAGCCTTCAGTTATCAGACCTGCTCGTGGTACCTACGGTCTCTAAATGTACTATGGGAGGTAGAGCCTTCAGTTATCAGACCTGCTCGTGGTACCTATGGTCTCTAAATGTACAATGGGAGGTAGAGCCTTCAGTTATCAGACCTGCTCGTGGTACAGTCTCTAAATGTACTATGGGAGGTAGAGCCTTCAGTTATCAGGCCTGCTCGTGGTACAGTCTCTAAATGTACTATGGGAGGTAGAGCCTTTAGTTATCAGGCCTGCTCGTGGTACCTATGGTCTCTGAATGTACTATGGGAGGTAGAGCCTTCAGTTATCAGACCTGCTCGTGGTACAGTCTCTAAATGTACTATGGGAGGTAGAGCCTTTAGTTATCAGGCCTGCTCGTGGTACCTATGGTCTCTAAATGTACTATGGGAGGTAGAGCCTTCAGTTATCAGGCCTGCTCGTGGTACAGTCTCTAAATGTACTATGGGAGGTAGAGCCTTCAGTTATCAGGCCTGCTCGTGGTACAGTCTCTAAATGTACTATGGGAGGTAGAGCCTTCAGTTATCAGGCCTGCTCGTGGTACAGTCTCTAAATGTACTATGGGAGGTAGAGCCTTCAGTTATCAGGCCTGCTCGTGGTACCTACGGTCTCTAAATGTACTATGGGAGGTAGAGCCTTCAGTTATCAGGCCTGCTCGTGGTACCTACGGTCTCTAAATGTACTATGGGAGGTAGAGCCTTTAGTTATCAGGCCTGCTCGTGGTACCTACGGTCTCTAAATGTACTATGGGAGGTAGAGCCTTCAGTTATCAGACCTGCTCGTGGTACAGACTCTAAATATACTATGAGAGGTACTCATTGTTATATTACAGAAAAGGTAAAAGACCTTACTCATTGTTATATTACAGAAAAGGTAAAAGACCTTACTCATTGTTATATTAAAAGGTAAAAGACCTTTTTCATTGTTATATTAAAGAACAGGGAAAAGACTTTACTCATTGTTATATTAAAGCTGGGAAATGTTTTTGTTCTGTTCATGTTGGGTTTTGTTTTCACTGCTGAAGTTAAATCTATTTATAATTATAGATGTAATTTCATGCAGACGTTCAGTTACAGTTATTGTCTATTGTTTATTTTTTTACACCTGCGCCCATTTGGAGTTCACCGCTCGATCACCACTGAATGCAGCATATCCAACTTTCCCAGGAGCACCTGATTGCAGCATAACTAAATGTCCGAGGAGTACCTGAATGCAGCCTTAAAGCCATGGTTGCTGGTTGCTATTTTCTTGTTTGTTTTTGCATCACTTCCTGTTTTTACGTCACACTGCTGTCAGAAATTGAAGCACAAATAGCGTGTGAATAATCTCCTCCACCTGCAGACAGATTAGCTGCTGAACCCCTGTTTGATTATCAGCAGACTGTGTGCTGTCCTTTTAAGCCCCGCCCCCTGCACACAAGTACACAAGTACACACACACACTCACACAGCCCTCCCCCTGCTGTCAGCGCATCTCTCCCTCTCTCCGCCGTTAATCCGTCTCTCTCTTTCGGTGATCATGGCGGAAATCAAAACGGGAATCTTCGCTAAAAACGTGCAGAAACGGCTGAACCGCGCGCAGGAGAAGGTAAGAGCAGAGGAGGAGGATGATGATGGTGATGATGTTGATGATGAAGGAGGTGACGGTGCAGGAGGACGGCTGGATGTAGGTGGTTGGTGGCTGCGGGCCTGCTCAGCTTCTCTGTTGATTTGTTAGTCTTTCCGGTATTTCCACTCATGGATAGATGATCTTTATGTGTGTTAAATAGTGAGTGACGTCATTCTGATACATTTACAAACAGCACTTACACACATTGAAACCTTGTCTGTGCTTTAACGTTTTTACAACACATCGTGATGACGTAAGGCCCTGCACGTTTGTCACGTTCTAAAGATTTACGTAGAACGAGAGTTTTCTGCGTCAAGGTCGGCAGAAGGGGAGGCGGCGTGATGGCGTCACTACTACCTGCACGTTGTTTATAGAGGAGGTCTGCCAGTGGTTTTGTGAATACAGTAGCCTACATGTGTATATATATATATATATATACATGTAGGCTATGGCACATTGTGTATATTGCATACATACATATATAGATATACACAAACTGTGAATACAGTACATAAATATGTTTATAGATATACAGTACTGTGTACATACATATATAGATAGACACAATGTGTGAAAATACAGTACATATACAACATATATATACACATATTGTGTACATATATATGTTCATAGATACCCTCTGGAACTCACTCCCAAAAAAACATCCGAGACTCCCACACACTCACCTCCTTCAAGAAATCCTTCAAAACTCACCTCTTCATTACTGCCTACAACCACTAATTCACCCCCTTCCCCCCCTACATTACTTCTTCGTTGTACTGTCCTCGTCGTTTTTTATTTTGTTTTATTGTTTTATGTTTTTGTCAAAGTGTCTTTGAGTTTTCAGAAAAGGGCTATATAAAACCAATGTATTATTATTATTATAGATATACACTACTGTGTAATGGGATTCTGACAGAGGACTGTCCGTGGTGCTGAAACATGACTCGGTTCTGACAGAGGACTGTCCGTGGTGCTGAAACATGACTCGGTTCTGACAGAGGACTGTCCGTGGTGCTGAAACATGACTCGGTTCTGACAGAGGACTGTCCGTGGTGCTGAAACATGACTCAATGCTGAGAGGACTGTCCGTGGTTCTGAAACATGACTCGATGCTGACAGAGGACTGTCCGTGGTTCTGAAACATGACTCGGTTCTGACAGAGGACTGTCCTTGGTGCTGAAACATGACTCGGTGCTGACAGAGGACTGTCCGTGGTGCTGAAACATGACTCAGTTCTGACAGAGGACTGTCCGTGGTTCTGAAACATGACTCGATGCTGACAGAGGACTGTCCGTGGTTCTGAAACATGACTCGGTTCTGACAGAGGACTGTCCGTGGTTCTGAAACATGACTCGATGCTGACAGAGGACTGTCCGTGGTGCTGAAACATGACTCGGTGCTGACAGAGGACTGTCCGTGGTGCTGAAACATGACTCGGTTCTGACAGAGGACTGTCCGTGGTGCTGAAACATGACTCGGTTCTGACAGAGGACTGTCCGTGGTGCTGAAACATGACTCAATGCTGACAGAGGACTGTCCGTGGTGCTGAAACATGACTCGGTTCTGACAGAGGACTGTCCGTGGTGCTGAAACATGACTCGATGCTGACAGAGGACTGTCCGTGGTGCTGAAACATGACTCGATGCTGACAGAGGACTGTCCGTGGTGCTGAAACATGACTCGATGCTGACAGAGGACTGTCCGTGGTGCTGAAACATGACTCGATGCTGACAGAGGACTGTCCGTGGTGCTGAAACATGACTCGATGCTGACAGAGGACTGTCCGTGGTTCTGAAACATGACTCGATGCTGACAGAGGACTGTCCGTGGTTCTGAAACATGACTCGATGCTGACAGAGGACTGTCCGTGGTTCTGAAACATGACTCGGTTCTGACAGAGGACTGTCCGTGGTGCTGAAACATGACTCGGTTCTGACAGAGGACTGTCCGTGGTGCTGAAACATGACTCGGTTCTGACAGAGCAGTGAGGACTTAGTGAAGGAAATGGAATTCTCAGTTGTTAGTGTACCATGTTTTGAAGCCAGTCTGTTCATTCCCATGTGTGTCTCATGTGTGTCAAGTAAAAGGTCAAACAAGGTTAAGGATCCAAGATGGTGCCACTGGCTTTATTTACATCCATGGAACTTTTTCCTTGTTACCTGTGGAACATAGCATTCTAAAAGGCAAAGTTCTGTTTGTCCACACGAGAGATTCTTAACGTCCGGCCAGAAGATTTCTTATGTCCTGTGTTTTTAGCCTCACATACATTTTTATATGTAGTAGCTGGCAATAAGCAGTAATTCTTACATGTGAGAAATACAATGCCTATGAAGATCACCATTTACTGAATTAGCTAAATGTTCTTTAAGCGATAAAAAATACATTTTAATTTTGTCATTTCATGATTTACAGGTGCTGCAGAAACTCGGGAAAGCAGATGAGACCAAAGATGAGCAATTTGAACAAGTGGTCGTCAACTTCAGGAGGCAGGAGGTGAGACAACCATGTTGGCAATACACTTAAGATTTTCAATGTTCAATTTGTCTGCTCTGACACAATTTCTGCTTCAAGTCGACTTTACAGTTCAGTCTGAGTCAGTCTAACAGGTCAGTCTAACGGGTCAGTCTGAGTCAGTCTAACAGGTCAGTCTGAGTCAGTCTAACAGGTCAGTCTAACGGGTCAGTCTGAGTCAGTCTAACGGGTCAGTCTTAGTCAGTCTAACAGGTCAGTCTAACGGTTCAGTCTTAGTCAGTCTAACAGGTCAGTCTAACGGGTCAGTCTAACGGTTCAGTCTTAGTCAGTCTAACGGGTCAGTCTAACAGGTCAGTCTAACGGTTCAGTCTGAGTCAGTCTAACAGGTCAGTCTAACGGTTCAGTCTTAGTCAGTCTAACGGGTCAGTCTAACAGGTCAGTCTAACGGTTCAGTCTGAGTCAGTCTAACAGGTCAGTCTAACGGGTCAGTCTAACGGTTCAGTCTGAGTCAGTCTAACAGGTCAGTCTAACGGTTCAGTCTTAGTCAGTCTAACGGGTCAGTCTAACGGTTCAGTCTTAGTCAGTCTAACGGGTCAGTCTAACGGGTCAGTCTAACGGTTCAGTCTTAGTCAGTCTAACGGGTCAGTCTAACGGTTCAGTCTGAGTCAGTCTAACAGGTCAGTCTAACGGTTCAGTCTTAGTCAGTCTAACGGGTCAGTCTAACAGGTCAGTCTAACGGTTCAGTCTGAGTCAGTCTAACAGGTCAGTCTAACGGGTCAGTCTAACGGTTCAGTCTTAGTCAGTCTAACGGGTCAGTCTAACAGGTCAGTCTAACGGTTCAGTCTGAGTCAGTCTAACAGGTCAGTCTAACGGGTCAGTCTAACGGTTCAGTCTGAGTCAGTCTAACAGGTCAGTCTAACGGGTCAGTCTAACGGTTCAGTCTTAGTCAGTCTAACGGGTCAGTCTAACGGTTCAGTCTGAGTCAGTCTAACAGGTCAGTCTAACGGGTCAGTCTAACGGTTCAGTCTTAGTCAGTCTAACAGGTCAGTCTAACGGTTCAGTCTTAGTCAGTCTAACGGGTCAGTCTAACGGTTCAGTGTTAGTCAGTCAAACGGGTCAGTCTAACAGGTCAGTCTAACGGTTCAGTCTTAGTCAGTCTAACGGGTCAGTCTAACGGGTCAGTCTAACGGTTCAGTCTTAGTCAGTCTAACAGGGTCAGTCTAACGGTTCAGTCTTAGTCAGTCTAACGGTTCAGTCTTAGTCAGTCTAACAGTCTAACGGTCAGTCTAACGGTCAGTCTAACGGTCAGTCTTAGTCAGTCTAACGGGTCAGTCTAACGGTTCAGTCTTAGTCAGTCTAACGGGTCAGTCTAACGGTTCAGTCTTAGTCAGTCTAACGGGTCATTTTAAGTCACACTAACGGGTCAGTCTGAGTCAGTCTCTTTGTTTCAGCTTGTGTTTGACTTTTATAGTCCTGCAGTCTCACATTAGTGAGACAGAACCTGAAACAGGAAACTGACACACCGTGTGTGTGTGTGTGTGTGTGTGTGTGTGTGTGTGTGTGTGTGTGTGTGTGTGTGTGTGTGTGTGTGTGTGTGTGTGTGTGTGTGTGTGTGTGTGTGTGTGTGTGTGTGTGTGTGTGTGTGTGTGTGTTGTTAGTCTGAAGGCTCTCGACTGCAGAGGGAAATGAAATCCTACATGGCTGCCATTAAAGGTGAGAAGAGATCTGAATATCATTTTACTTTACAAACTAACATTTGTTCATTCATGTTTCTTCTCTATGGTATTACAATTTGTTTTTATTTTTGATTACTTTGAAATTGACATCATGGATTAGTGATATGAAATCTGTGTTTCTGCCTTTAAACATGCATGTTTAAGTTAACCATGACAACCTCATTACTTGATTCTTCTCTTGCAGGGATGCAGCAGGCCTCCATCAATCTGACACAATCTCTACATGAAGTCTACGAACCCGACTGGCACGGGAAAGATGATGTCATGGTCATTGGGAAGGTCAGAGTCATTTAAGATTTGACAAAGTTCTCAGGTTAGGGTTAGAGAGACAATTAAAGACTCAGACTTACCCGTTAGACTGACTTAACCCTTACCCTAACCCTAACCCCATCTCAGAACAGCCTCACCTGTGTGTGTCCAGATGTCGGAGTGACCTGTACAAAGCTGAACACTGGTTAAGATTTTGGATTATATCTTTTTGATTTTTAGCACCAGTAGCCATGCAGACATGTCACAAACTGGTTGAAATGACAATCTTTTGTTTGATGGATGTTTCCAAACGGATCTTATTGATACCATTTATTTATTAGAATGGTTTCATTGTTGTCAGTAAGGAGACATGAAGTAATAGACTAAAACCAGTACTCATCAAAAAACTGACATCTTACTATGATGGAGGGGCGTCTGCTTGCTTGTAGCTGGTTAGTCCGGGATACTGCTCTTAATGGATTTCTTAAGGAAAACTGGTCCGAGTTCAGGAATCCATTAAACCTCAGTATAAGGTCTCTTTTCCTACAGCCCCCTGTAAAAAATTAGTTTGAAGTTGACATGAGCCGATGTGTTGACTAACAGATACCTGTCAGGAACGTTTATGGTGCGCAGGGTGATGACATGAAACTGTTGCAACACTCCAAGTCCTGAAAATGTTAGGACATGGTGCAGAGTAACTATAATAATGTTGGTTGTTGTGTGTTTCCTTTAGGACAGTGATGCATTGTGGGAAGATTTCCACAATAAACTGGTGGACTCAACTCTCCTGAACCTTGATGCGTATCTGCAACAGTTTCCAGATCTCAAAGTAATACAATTCGTCTTTAAATAAAATGATCTTTAACAGTGCTGATGACTCGTCAACTAATGATTGGAACTTCCACATTTCAGACCCGTGTGGCCAAAAGAAGTCGTAAACTTATCGACTATGACAGCGCTCGCCATCACGTGGAAACTCTGCAGGTTTCAGGGATGAAGAGTGATCGCAAGATGATGAAGGTGAGTTCACTCGTCTTTGATGAACTTTCATGAGATTCATGTTTAAGTTAAAGGACATCGTGACAGGTGTGGTATGTTACCTGTCCATGTTTTATGTTCTACCTGTCCAGGTGTGGTGTGAAGGTCATGTTGTAAACACACTGGTTTTGTCTTCCTACAGGCTGACGATGAGCTCAGAAAGGCTCAGAAAGTGTTTGATGAGCTGAATGTCGGTCTTCAGGATGAACTGCCCACCCTATGGGACAGGTGAGGCACATCACATAAACACCTGAATATATATGATATAACAGTGTGTGATCAATAAACAGGAAGTCATTAATATACACTGCAATGTGTTGACTAATTAGTGAAACCTAGTGAGGAAACAGATCTAAGGCTCCGTCCCTTACAAGATGATTGGTCAATAGAGACATTGAAAAACACTGAGGACTGAAGCAACTATACTGTGTGTTACTCATTGTGTGTAGATGTGTGTATCTGTGATTTAAAAGGAAAGATGCTGGTCGGTGTGGCCTCTTTAAGGAGAGACTGGTCAGAGTAGAGGCACTGAAGTTGGTCTCTACATTGTACCAGACGGGGTCGTTTGCTCCACTTAATTAAGTCAATTTCAGAAAAACTGGACTCACAAACATTGCAGGATAAATGTACAGTATATTGAAAAAATCCACAGTGCTTTATTTTCCATCAGCAAGCCTGTTTGTTTTAGCACCTCTTCATCCTTTTTAAATGACTTTCCCACACACTTTACCGTGGAAACTGGTAACTTCTTCTGTGGTAACTGGAGGACTGGAGGAACCCCAAGTTAACTGGGGCTGTACATGTGTAACTGTGAGCTTTTTACTTGATGAAAACACACTAGTGTCCATTGTTGATGAAAACTGAGCTAGAATAATAAAGTCGATAATCATTTCTGTGAAGGGTCAGTCAGATAATCGTTCAACACTTGTCAGCCTACTTATAATGATCTCAAACTGGGGTGCAATAATGTCAAAATTTACAATGTAATTATCAGTCTACTCTGCAAAATTCCCGCTGAGTGGTACACTATAGACCTGAACAGCAGATCAGTGTGCTGCTGGCGTAAGAACATGTATATGGTATGCTGAAGTAGTGTTAAAACAAAGGGGCTTTCTTGCTGAAAAGTAACACGCTGTGGATATTTGAAATGTTTATCAATCAATCAATCTTATATATAGTATAAATTTACCCCAACGTTGTTTTTTGCTCGTTTTCTTTCCTTACAATTAATGAAATTATTTGGTGCAAACAAATCTGTGTGTATAGCCAAGCCTCGGTGCCAGCACTCTAACTGGTGTCTCCTTAAAAGGGCCACGCTGACTAGCTCCTGTGGATAATGTACCTTTTATTGACAAGTACCTCACACAACCACACTTAAAAAAATATACAACTATCCCTTCAACGTGTGTATCAGTGTTCAGCAGTAGTTTGTTCCTGTATATTTTTATGAAACTTGACCGGTTGTCAGGTGTTTAGAGATCTCAGAGTAAACTTTTAAACACCAGGACAGTGAGTTACACAGTTTGTAGATAGATAAGACAGTGACATACACTCATGAACATTTTTGTTTTTCTGCAGCCGGGTTGGTTTCTACATCAGCACCTATAAGAGCGTGACAAGTCTGGAGGCCAAATTTCACCGTGAGATCTCTCTGGTGGGGACAGGCTGATTTTCTTTTAATATCAACGTCTTATTTCTTTTCTAAAATGTATCACAAAACATTATGGACCTGGTAAATGGTAAATGGACTTGAGCTTGTATATTGCTTATACACCGTTCGTCACACCAACACATTCACACACTGATGGTAGAGGCTGCTGAGTAAAGAGTCCATCAGCAATAACTCATCCATTGATACACATTCACACACTGACGGTAGAGGCCACTGTGTAAAGAGTCCATCAGTATTAACTCATCCATTCATACACATTCATACGCCACCGATAAAGCAGGGGGAGCAATTCAGGGTTCAGTGTCTTGTCCGAGGACTCATGGAGTACATGGAAATGTAGCTGCAGGAGCTACAGATCAAAACCCCTACGACCGACTCTACCAAGTGAGCCACTGCAGCCGACAAAGCACTGTTATCACCAACAGCAACAACATCGGACAGTCAGAAATAAAACACCTGTCTAGTCCCCTACTTCCTGAACACTGGATCATCAGTTAGATTAAAGCCAGACAATGACAAGAAAATGAATCAGACCAACGAATAAAAAACATCTGATTTAATATCAATGTTTCAGTCAGTTCTTATTTTTTCAAAGATCTACAAACACAAAGATAAAACATTTGTGGCCAATCCAGTTTGAGCACTCCGTGACATCACGTGTTTCCAGGAGAGAGTAAAGAACACATCCATTGAGACATGAAAGTTTGCTTTTGGAAAGAAATGTTTTTTAGAAAAGTAAAACTTTGAAATGTTGTTGTGACCTCCAGGTGTGCAGGCAGCTGTATGAAGTGATGACTCAGCTGGCCGAGCAGCACTCTGACAAAATGTTCACCATCCAAGGAGCTCCGAGGTCAGTGCCATGCTCACAGTAGACAAACTGCATTTGAAACACATACACTCACTGAGTAGTTCTTAAAATGAGGTTCATATGATTCCTCTGATTGATGAGAGGTGAACATGAACATGAACCGGCGTTTGTGTTTTCATGCTTACTCACTTATAATCACAATGATATGAAGTTCTTAAGAAGTGCCTCCACAGTTTCTTCAAATGTTTTTGTTTCTGTGAGTTCATTCTTAAAGTTAATCAAATCCTCCTATCCACACTCTCTGAATAGCTCAGGATCTGCCCTCTGCTGGTTCGTGTCGTACCTCTCTGGGCGATCCTTTAGAGTGTCGTGGAAGTGTCCAAAGTGCACAGCTTATCCACAGGGGTACCTCAAGGGTCAGTGCTTGGTCCCCTTCTCTTCTCCATATACACAAGCTCAGGTTCAATAATCCGCTCATGGCTTCTCATACCACTGCTATGCTGGCGATACCCAGCTCTTCCTGTCATTCCCGCCAGACGATGTTACAGTCTCTGCAAGAATCTCATCATGCCTTGCTGATATCTCTAAATGGATGAATGAACGGCACCTTCAACTCAATCTTTCAAAGACTGAGCTTCTTGTCATCACAGCCAGTCCCTCTATGCAACCACAGATCAATATCCAGCTTGGAACAACCAAACTCATGCCCACAAAGTCTGCAGGAACCTGGGTGTCATGATTGATGACCAGCTAACATCACAACATCAAGAAGATCAGACCTTACCTGACAGAACATGCTACACAGCTCCTGGTACAGGCTCTTGTGATATCTCTACTGGCAGGTCTTCCTACATGCACTATCAAACCTCTGCAGATGATACAAAATGCAGCAGCACGACTGGTCTTCAACCTTCCTAAAAGAGCACGTCACTCCGTTGTTCATCTCCTTAAACTGGCTCCCAGTTACTGCTCACATCAAATTTAAAACTCTGCTGTTCGCTTAACTGTGACAGAAACGTCTCCTCCTTACTTTAACTCTCTGATCCAGGTCTACATCCCCCTCCGCCCACTACGCTCTGCCAATGAAAGGTGTCTGATCCAACCTTCACAACAGGGTCCTAAGTCTCTGACTGGACTCTTCTCCTCTGTCGCCCCCTGGTGGTGGAATGAACTTCCAAACTCCATGTGATCTGCAGAGTCCCTCTGCACCTTTAAGAAAAAGCTAAAGACCCAGCTCTTTCATGAATACCTACTAACTTAATGATGATGGTCTCCATATTATTGATGATGATGATGGTAATGATGATGGTCTCCATATTATTGATGATGATGATGGTAATGATGATGGTCTCCATATTATTGATGATGATGATGGTCTCCATATTATTGATGATGATGATGGTAATGACGATGGTTTTTGTTTGATAACGACGACTTATAAGATGGTTTCTATACTGATTAGAGCTCTCAAGAACTGCCCTCAATGTTGTGCTTTGCCTCTGGTCACTCCCTGTCAGCACCTGTGGTCACTTCCTGTCAGCACCTGTGTGTCCAATCAGACTCAAAGCTGATCGTTTGCTCTTACTCACATTGTTCCCTTTTTTCTAGATCCTTGCTTGTGTTGTTCTTACTCTCTGATGTACGTTGCTTTGGATAAAAGAGTCTGCTAAGTGAATTGTAGAATTGTAGAATCACATCACCTAATTATATCACCATCAAACAGCTGCAACACAGCTGTCCCTAACAATTGACACTGACCAACCAATGAGAAGCTGCCTTGCGTTATCATCTGGTGTCCATCTTTTCCTTCAGTGATTCAGGACCTCTGCGACTTGCCAGAACCCCTTCCCCTCCTGAGGACGAAAGTCCACCTGAGAGTCCAGACGCCAGCGCCAATCACATGCTCCGCCCCGTCTCACCTGGACCACCCCGACCCAAGTCGCCAACACAGGTAGACCTGATCTTGACTGGATAAGAGTCCTGTTCACAGGAAGATCATAGTTATGATTCATATCCCGTAGATCCACGTCACAGGTTAGCAGGTAGTCCCTTTTCAAAGATAAGATGTTCTCTAGGTCACTGTCCTAGGCAGATCTAGTCTAAACTGGATCCAGGTCTTCAATACAGGAAAATCTGCTATCTGTAAAATCAAGTTCTATTACGTCCAGGTTCTTGGTAGATGCTGGTGCTGTTAATGAGTTTCAATGAAGCGTGACAATCACACAGGAAGGACTCAGGAGCTCCAGTGATATTCGATGGCTAAAGTGATAATATTTTAACTCACCAGGAGAAATTACATCAAGAGTAGTGTGGTACAATGCCAAGTCTGTTAATCAATGAATCAAAGAATAAACTGCTTTTAAGAGGCAGAAACCTGGATCAGAACCAGGCTCATGATGAACAGACAGAAACCTGGATCAGAACCAGGCTCATGATGAACAGACAGAAACCTGGATCAGAACCAGACTCATGATGAACAGACAGAAACCTGGATCAGAACCAGACTCATGATGAACAGACAGAAACCTGGAGCAGAACCAGACTCATAATGAACAGACAGAAACCTGGATCAGAACCAGACTCATGATGAACAGACAGAAACCTGGATCAGAACCAGACTCATGATAAACAGACAGAAACCTGGATCAGAACCAGACTCATGATGAACAGACAGAAACCTGGATCAGAACCAGACTCATGATAAACAGACAGAAACCTGGATCAGAACCAGACTAAGTTGTCAGAAATTACATTTGATGATGAACATGAGTACTGAAATAATTTCTAAGTCATAAAACAGAAAAACAAGCCAGACCCAACATCTTCTACTGCATATGACCTTTGACCTCGCCCTATAACACCAACAGCGGCCTTTGTGAGTAAAAGATCCTTTACAACAAGTGTTTGAGTCTGTTAGACAGAGGTCAAAGGTCATACTTGCCTCCTCCTTATTGACCTTTATGACATTTCATCCATTATTTACGTGTTGTATCAATAATGGACTTAATGAGTTATTAATGATTTAATATTTCAATGGCTGATGAGACATGAGACCTTTCGTTAGGGCTATTGATGAATGATCGACTTGTAGACCTTCAAAGTAATTTTTTCTGACTGTTTTTTTTCTGCATACATTTGTTTGTCACTGGGTGAGTGAACACACAACAGCAGTTTATTCATGTGTTTGTATGACTGTCTATGACTGTCTGTGCTGAGTAGTCAAACACACACACACACATATATATTTTATATACTGTGTGTGTGTGTGTGTGTGTGTGTGTGTGTGTGTGTGTGTGTGTGTGTGTTAATTTATGTTGTACTCATGTGATCGGTGTTTGTCAAATTATTTAAATTATTCCTTTTTATATATATATATATATATATATATATATATATACAAAGGTATAGACTGTATATATATATAGTGTATATATACATGGTCTATATATATAAAGACAGTACAGTAGTTGATATGAACACAGTAATCATTTGATGTATCTTTGGTTTCTTTCATTTGAAACCAAAGATCAGAAACAGTCATGAAATCTCAGAACATTAAATCATTGTTGATTTATAAAAAAACAAAAAACTTTTTGCAGCTTAAAAAGGGGCCCCCAGTGCCCCCCCCACCAAAGGCAACACCGTCCAAGGAGGTGGCAGAGGAGCAGATTATCGACTTGTTTGGAGGAGAGTTCTTACCTGCACCTTCTCCATCCCAGGTGTGTTGAGTCCTATTATCTTCAATGATCAGACTCACCTGTGTGTTCTGTTCACACCTGCTGTCTGTTTCTATCAGCCCAATGAACGACCTGGAGAATCTCTGCTGGACCTCGACTTTGATGCTTTTCAGCCTGATGACAGTGTTTCACCAATCCCACAGGTTTTTATGACCCTTAGTGTTGACTCAGAATATATTTAGTGTCTGTGATTGATACTGATCTAAATGAACACCCTGCTGTGAACCTTTCAGACTGCTGTACCCTGGGATATGTGGTCGGTGAGTAACTCCTCGTCTTCCATCTCACATGTCTGAACACACACATCGAATATGACCAATACATGATTTATTCAAACAATTACTCCATCACGTGTTAACACTATTTGTTTTATTTTGAAGGCCGACGCTGAAACAGCTCCGCCTGTGAGTACACACCAACACACACAGTACACACACAGTATACACACAGTACACACTCTCTCTAACACACACACACACAATGTACACACACAATGTACACATAGTACACACCAACACACACAGTACACACACAGTATACACATAGTACACACTCTCTCTAACACACACACACACAATATACACATAGTACACACACACACACACACACACACAATATACACATAGTACACACACAGTATACACATAGTACACACTCTCTCTAACACACACACACAATATACACATAGTACACACACACACACACACACAATATACACATAGTACACACACAGTACACACACAGTATACACATAGTACACACTCTCTCTAACACACACACACACAATATACACATAGTACACACACACACACACAATATACACATAGTACACACACACAGTACACACACAGTATACACATAGTACACACTCTCTCTAACACACACACACACACAATATACACATAGTACACACACACACACACACACACACATACACAATATACACATAGTACACACACACACACACACACACACCATTTAAGTAAAACATCTGTAGAAATGTCATGCAGGTGTTCAAAACAAAGTCTCTGGATTTAAACATCGTCGCCCATCAACAGTCTACACAATCCCTGAATTGTGTGTGAGTGTGTATGAATGTGTGTGTGGGGTGTGAATGTGTGTGAATGTGTGTGAATGTGTGTGAATGTGTGGTGGGGGTATCAAACTTTAACCCATTCCCTGCCTTTTCTAAGCAGGCTGCAGATGACAGCTTCGTTGCCAACTGGTCGGCTGACTTTGGTTCATTATCACCTAATGAAGACGCTGCTTCAGGAGCTGAGGCCTCTGCTGCAGGGCTGGAGGGGGCTCAGGGGGGGGCTCAGGGTCAGGATCAGGGCTTAAACCAGACTAAAGGCTGGAAATCAGAGGACAGTGAGGCAGTCAGAAGTGATGAAGATGAGGCGGGGAAGTTAGATTCAGGGGGATACGGTGCTGGTCAGGAAGATCGCAGGAAGTCCACCCCAGGACTTGTTTTCACTAACGAGTTCGGTCAAGAAATTGAAGACAGCACAGCGGACAAAAGAGACAAGTGGTCTAGGTCCCCGGATGGGTCTGGGTCTGAATATGAAACTGCTGAGGAATGGGGGGATGGGATTCAGGGGGGAGGCTGGGCGAGTGCGGATGATGAACTTTCATCTGAAGATCCTCCAGCAAATACTTCAGAGGGGTGGAAAGGTGGAGGTGAGGATGTAGCAATAGAGAGCTACCGTCCAGGTAAAGAACAACAAAGTGAACTCACATCAGATTCTACTGGTCATTCTGTAACCAACACAACACAGGGAGGAGGTGCGTTTGATTTATCTACTGCCACAGAAACACAGGGAGGAGGTGCGTTTGATTTATCTACTGTAGCTGAAACACAGGGAGGAGGTGCGTTTGATTTATCTACTGTAGCTGAAACACAGGGAGGAGGTGCGTTTGATTTATCTACTGCCACAGAAACACAGGGAGGAGGTGCGTTTGATTTATCTACTGCCACAGAAACACAGGGAGGAGGTGCGTTTGATTTATCTACTGTAGCTGAAACACAGGGAGGAGGTGCGTTTGATTTATCTACTGTAGCTGAAACACAGGGAGGAGGTGCGTTTGATTTATCTACTGTAGCTGAAACACAGGGAGGAGGTGCGTTTGATTCAGATCCTTTT